TCTCTCCATCCTACTTCCTCCCTAATCTTTCTCCTCCTCTCTCATCCCTCTTTGGATACAGTACCAGGGAAATGCCCAAGCAACATCTCTCTCATAAGTTATCCCTTATTATCTTACACCCCCCCCACCCCAACCCCCCTCCCTCCCAGTCCCAAAAACCCACCCACCCCAACCTCCCCTCCCCCCCCTTCCCAGAGCTTGGCACAGGGTTTTCAAACATATTAAACAAAATCTACTTAACTTTAACTAATGCAAACTAAATCTAACTAAACCTATCCAACTATACAAATAACAAAATCAATAAGTTACTTTAACTCAAATACAAAACAAATTTAAACAAATTAAAGAAAATCAACTATCAAAATCAAATAATGCCAAATTTAAAACAAAAATTATTCATAATCAAGACAATACTTTTAATGATATCTACTCTAATCAAAATTTACCCATTTTTTTTTCAAACATATTAAACAAAATCTACTTAACTTTAACTAATGCAAACTAAATCTAACTAAACTTATCCAACTATACAAATAACAAAATCAATACATTACTTCAACTCAGATACAAAACAAATTTAAACAAATTAAAGAAAATCAATTATCAAAATCAAATAATTCCAAATTTAAAACAAAAATTGTTCATAATCAAAACAATACTTTTAATCATCTCTACTCTAATCAAACTTTACCCAATAAATCCCATATTTATTTTAACTTTAACTAATACAAACTAAATCACAATAAGTAAAACGAAAATTATTCATAATCCAAACAATACTTTTAATCATATCTACTCTAATCATAATTTACCCATTAAATCCCATATTTGTTCTTCATATAATTTATCCACCTTCTCCACACCAAGATGTGTATTTCTTTTAAACAATATAAACTTAGCTCTTAACTCTTTCGCCCCCAGACCCAAATGAATGTAATACCCTTTTCTCCCAAATCAAAACCTTATAACATTCTTATCCACTTTTAAATCATAATATATCATAAGTACTCTCAAATATTAAATCACCAGATTAAAACCTATCTATTCTCTCAAACAGAAATCATAGTAGATAGTTTCAGATATTAAATCCCTAAATTAAAGCCTAACAAGTCTTCTCCCAGGCAAAAATCATAAATTTAAACTTTCCCCTAAATAACAAAAATTTAACAAAACTCCTTATAACAAGCCAGCTGATATTCCAACTTCTCCTTCTATTATCTGTTACTTAGAAGATGATGAAAAACCTTCTGCTGTTCCATTATTTTACTTCTAAAAACTGCACGAGTCATGCCTAATTTCTTTGATAAATCTTCTGTTGAAGAGGACTGCTGCAAAGGTACAACCTCCATATCTTCTTCAATCAGCTGCTCTTCCGGCTTTTCTTCCACCTTTATCTTACTTCTAAAAGGTCCACAAGTACTCAATTTCATTAATGAATCTTCTATCAAAAAAGATTGTTGCAAAGGTTTAATCTGCGAATCTTCTATCAGTTGCTCTTCCAACTTTTCTTCTAATACCTCAGTTCTAAAAGCTGCGCAAGTCATGCCCAATTTCTTTAATAAATCTTCTGTTAAGGAGGACTGCTGCAAAGGTTCAACCATATTTTCTTCAATCAGCTGCTCTTCCAGCTTTTCTTCCACCTTTAGTTTACTTCTAAAAGCTCCACAAGTACTCAATTTCATTAATGAATCTTCTGTCAAGAGAGATTGTTGCAAAGGTTTAACCTGCATATCTTCTATCAATTGCTCTTCCAACTTTTTTTCTAATATCTCAGCTGTAGGTAATAAAGAGCCCGCCTTCAAAACGGAAGTGTAAAAATCCTTCGCTTTCAAAATTGTATCAAGTCTGTAGTGTGTCCCCGCATAATTCACCACCATTCCAACCGGTATCTCCCATCTAAAACGAATCTGTCGCCTCTTAAGCTCATCAGCCAAAAAAGCAAAATGCTTTCTTACTTTGAGAATTCTTGAAGGTAATTCTTTCAGAAGTATAACATCCTGGGCTGCAATTTGAAATCTCTGCTTGTAAAAGGCTTGTAAAATTTTATTACGAAGTGATCTACTAAAAAAATAAATAACCACATCTCGTGGCAGGTTCCTCTGTCTTGCAACCCTTGAATTAACCCTAAAAACTTTTTCTATCTCTCTCAATATTTCTTCAGGCTCGGATTCCAAAATAAGAGCTATATCCTTTGCAACCACTTGTCTCAAGTCTTCTTTATTATTTTCCTGCATTCCCCTTATTCTTAAAGCAAAGTCCATACTTCTGTATTGTAACATAGTAATTTCATCCTGAATTATTTCCACCTTATTTTCTATTTTATCTTCCAATTTTTCAAAATTTTCTACAGCAACATCGATACGCTGATCCAAACGATCTATGTGATCAGCAAACTTCTGAAGGACAGACACTATATCTTCTCTCAATTTCCTAAATTTATTTTCAATTATTTCACTTATCTCTTTTTCAATCCGTCGTACACTATCTTCCAAAGCATCCTGTAAGTCTTTAGGTAAAACTGCTGGTAAAGCTGAGAAAAGTGGTGGAAATTTAGACTCGACTTGCTGAGCTGTCTGCATTACCGAAGAGGAGATTGAGGCTTTAGAAACAAAAGCTCCAAAATGCTTTGAAGCCATCTTGAAAAAAAAAAAATTCTTAAAATCTTATAAAACCTTTAACAAAGAGAGAGAGAGAAAAAAGAAGACAAAAGGAGGGGAAAAAAAAAACATTTTTTTTCAAATATTCAAGAGCCGATTCTATTGGACACATGGGAGACAATTTGGGTTAGAAATGTAAAATTTACTCAAGCTCAAAATTTAAAAGAAAATTTTTATAAAATGTTTTATAGGTGGCATTTGGATCCTCAAAAGCTGTCCTGTATGTATCCTAATTTACAGCCCAAATGTTGGAGATGTGGAAGCTTAGATGCAACTTATTTTCATACTTGGTGGAATTATTATTATTATTATTATTATTATTATTATTATTATTATTATTAATTTTAACTCTGGTGAATGAACAAAATCACCCACTGCACTTTCCAGCATAAGGCTACCTTAATAAATTCAGCTTTACTCCCTGAACAATTTATTTGTGCTTATAATTCTCCTCGAGAATCTTCTGACAATAATCTACAGACAAAATTGGATTGATAATCTGATTAATTATGATCTATTTATGTCAGCCTCTCAGTCATTGGATAAACATTAAAATGAGATGATGGAAGTTGACATAGCAGACTAGGCAACTGAAAAATATTATAGAAGAACGGCAATGGCAAACCATCCCCATTCTGTTGTCAAGAAAATTATTTGACTATATCTACATAATCATCAGGATTTCTTTTTCACAGGAATTCATGGAACAATTTAGTGCATTTAAACATATGCAGAGTATTTTATTTCACTATAAATATATATGTATCAAGGATTTGCTGAAAATAAACCAGGGTGAGGCTCTTTTCACATTTACAGCTTAAGCTGTATATTGCATCAAATCATTTTACAAGTGAGGGCAAAAAAACAAAAAAAAAAACAAATGAAATTATAACCAAAGAGACACATTAGGGTAGCAGGCATATTTTGCTATCACTTGCCTGGTTTGGAGCAAAGTTTGGTTTGGAAGAAAAATCTCAGAATAAATGTCTTCTGTAAATTGCTTAAATTAGAGTAATCCAAAATCAGAACCAACTATCCAGTCTTCTGCCTTTAGAGGACATGGGTTTAGAGATTGTGTTTTTATGAAGCATCTTTTGTCATACTCAGCCTTCTTCAGTTCATCTTCCCCTGTTTGAGCTTTAAAGTTTTTTCTCTCCTGTGTTGAGGAGGAATGAGCATTCTCTGATACTTCATTGATCATGTTAGCAATGGCATAATCAGGCCCAGCATCCATGGGTCAAATTTGACTGCTGCTGGCAGACTTCCATCCCGCCAATTGGTGGGTCATGCCCTCCACGTCTATTTTGGATTGGGGTGTGACCTGCAGAAGAGTTGGATACTTTACTTCCCAGAGGCATCTGCCTGTCTAACCAATGTTTCACCATGCCCTGTTCAGGAATTGTGCAGGAACCTTTTATATCAGGGTTTAGCATTCTTTGGGATGCATTTTTAAATAATGGATGACAGATAAACTGTGTCAGTCCTTCTAAACTATATGCAGATTCACATATGGTGAATGTGAATGCTATAACCTATAAATAGAATGTGACTGGCAATCTATTTGTACTAAGTTGTCATCCTCAAGCATGGAAAAACATGAGCTATCACACAGCTGTGGGCTATGTAAGGCTTAATTATATGTGAATGAAAACTATACCAAAATCTATCCTCCCAGTTTGTGAAAGTTTTCTTCAATCAAAGATGCTTCTGATGTTCTTCTTGTGATTATATGATAATGCCATTTCTTATGAATTGCATAATTGTGTGTCATTTTTGTAAGCCACTTAGATTTGTTTCTGATAGAAAAAGCATAAGATCAATTGCTTGTCACATTAGAAGAATTATTCCTGAAACTTCACATTTAAGCTCTCTCTGAAATGAATAACAAAAATTCCATCTCGGCTGTAGAAAAATCAAAGCAGGAAATCAGTTACTTTCAAAGAGGGCTGTGAATCATTCAAAGCAAGGCATCAATGGACAGGAAGGTTATTATATTTGTTGCTTGTTGGCTTCCTGTTCAATGCAGCTTTTACAGCAAAATATACAAGCTAATCCATTGATGCTTCCTAGATCCACCAAGGAAAAAGAGAGCCAAAAAAAAAACCCCACTATTTCTCAGGAAATAAGTCACCTACATGTTCAGAAATTTAATTAGACATTTCCCTAGATATTTCTCTCTCTTTTTGTTTTATGCTGAAAATCATAACATGTTATACATTGTTTACACTTCTCTTGCTAAAACACTTTCCATGAATGTTTAAAGACTTGGTAGTGTAATGTCAAGTAAGCAATGAAACCGATCGTGAAGTCTAATTGTATTTTGTATTTTCTTTCTCTTCTTAGAAAAAAAGAATTCTAAAGGGTTCAATTGAACTATCCAAGATTAAATGTGTAGAACTTGTGAAAAGTGACATCCCAGTTCCATGTCACTATAAATATCCTTTCCAGGTAAGTATTAACATTTGCCATTACAATCATCCTAAATATAACCAGTACATCCAATTTGCAAGTCATGCTTAATGCTTTTTTAATTGATCAAAAGATTTAAGGGGTAAAAACTGCTTAAGTGTTGAGAGGGAAATTGTACCAAAAACAACTTATAGCATTTTCAGAGTTGTTTATGTTTGTGAGACTAATTAGTATTTTTAAAAAGGATCCAGCTGCTTTGTATAATACCTTTCTGTCAAATTTTAGAACAGCATATAAAATTTAATTTTATCTGTTTCTTCCTTTGTCTATTTCAGTCTCTTCCTTCCATTATTTTTACCTGCCGCAAAATTTTTCCAATACATTTTTCTCTAGAAAACTCCCCACCCCATCCTCAAACACAAGTAATTAATTGGGGAGAAAACTTTTTGTTTCTTCTGGGAAATATGGGACTTTTTTTGAGTGGGTTGTGCTAAAGCAAGCCAGATATATAACAATGTAAATAGCATGTGAAATTATTTTTTCCCCTCAGCTGCAGCCCAAATGCTAGCTTCCTGTTTGGCAATGAAATGAACAATTCATAATGTGCTGCAGATATAGTATCGTTCAGAAAATCAAGAAAATTGTTTGATCCTAGTGACACAATTCATGATTGACCAGGATAGAAATAGCTTGTGGTTTCTGTTTCTTACAGGACAAATACAGATATGAATATTTGTTGGAGAATTAGGAGTTTTAGAATCTCAGCTATGTTTACTTTCTTTTAAAAAGCAAAATTCTATTCCAGTCTGCGGAAATCTGCTGAAATTTTGCTAAGAAAGTCTAATAATGGGATAATGGGTCTTCAATGCTTTTTTATGTTTATCCATTGTATGCAAATATATGTAATGTATTCATTAGACACACACATACCACACACAAATATCTCAGAATAACAAATAATATAATGTTCACTTGGCAAAACGTTTAATGTAATAGTTTTGTTAGTAATCTGACACCACATTATATTATTTATTAATACAAGTTCATTTTTCCTTCTAACATCACATCAGAAAACATGGGCTGATCCTGTTCAGTTTAGAATTGACTCTAAATGATTTTTTCTCTCATCACAGATTTTTCATGACAGCTATATGCTTTACATCTTTGCTCCCAACCTAGCAAGCTGCCAGAAATGGGTCATGGTTCTGAAAGAAGGTAATTCCTAGCCCATCACACTGTAATTCCTTAGGTCAACTCTTCATTTGAAATTCAGTGTCATTATGTCAAGGTAACATTAAGGCTAAGAAATACATGTTAGATATAAGCTTTTGTGGCTTGGAAGTGATTTTTATATTCCTGTTTCCTGCTGCAGCCCTTAATTATTTTGGTATCACTTTTTTTAAAAAAAAATAGTTGATGGCAAATGGTAAAGGAAACTTATATTTCAGAAATTAAGAGTCTATTTTATGTTCAGATATGTATGTTATTAGTTGGTGCTATAAAAATTAATGATAAAATAAAATATTTATTAACTTACCAGTTGTCCGAAACAAATTTATTTCACCTCCATATGCTGGGTATAGTGTTTAAGAACGATAGAGATAAGTGTTTATCTAAGTATCTAATTAAATCACATGCTGCATCGACACCTTTTTTTACATTATAGCACATTAAAATAAAACAAGATTGGTCCTTATTATTTGTAGTAAGAACAATGGCATGTTCATCATCTGTTCATAATATCATGGTGAAATCTGTTCTCCAAACTTCAGAGGTTTTGTGTTTTGCTTTGTTTTAATCCCAGTAAAAGTAGCTTTTGCTTTTCTGTATCATGGTTAGGGTGCTTTCGAATTTCATAAATACCTGCTCTCTTCTACTTCATGGGATGGAGCATGTAATGGAAGCAATTCTTTCCCATCAAATGTAATGATTAAAATGATTGTCTAGGACAGTGGTGGCGACCCTATGGCACGCATGCCAGAGGCGGCACTCAGAGCCCTCTCTGTGTGCACGCGTGCTGTTGCCCATTCCTAGGCCTTCAGTTGGGTTTTATAAAACCTTTTCACTTTAGGCCTCTGCCGTGTGCAAAAAAAAAAAAGGTTCAATCAATCAGTCAATTTCAACTTCTCGTGGGGAAAAAAAGATCTTGCAAAGTTGGAATTGATTGATTGAACTTTTTAGTCCCACCCAGTCTGCTGTTATCACCGCAGCCACACCCACCCAATGGGCCACACCCACCTGGTACCCGATGATGCATAAGTGGGTTTTGCGTTGCAGTTTGGGCACTCGGTTTCTAAAAGGTTCGCCATCACTGGTCTAGGAGAAATGGCAATCCCAATACACTTGCAAAGTATTCAGTGGGGGAAGTCTATTGTAAAAGCTGTTTATCATTATCAGGATTGCTCTATTTAGAGTATCTGTCATTTTCCCCATTACAGAAACTCAGAACAACACCACTTTGGTGTCAAAGTTTCACCCAAATTTTTGGATAGATGGACGATGGAGATGTTGTGCTCAGCTAGAAAAGATGGCAACAGGCTGCACGGAATATATTCCAGCCAAGACTGGTAGGAAATTCAAAAACTTCTCTTCCATCAAGGCTTCAAGAGTAATTTAAAGTACTGTTTTGTAAGCTATAGGACATCTGTAAAATGTGTATGAGAGAAGTTCAATACAGTTTTATGTTTAATTCTGTTATTTTTATATAGTGGCTTGACTGCCTTGTGGTGATCTGGTCACCATATGGCTTAAATCTGTAATGTGGATTTATTAATTTCCTTTGGGACTGAAGATTTCCAGACTCAGCATTGCTCATCTATAAAACCAATAAATGTCTAAATACTTAGCTTCTCCATAATATGGTGCAAAGCAATGTGTAATGCCGAAAAACCCACCTAGAATTATTTTCTTGTGCTTCTTGCACTGTGTTTGTGAAGCAGTCACTGTTTAGAACATATGTGGATAGTACTGTTAGCTGATATGCAGTCCTATGCATTAATTATATATCTTAAATAAGCAAAATATGTATTGCAGATTATCTCTTTTAAGCACTAGGTTTCACTTTTGGATTCATTAGGATCTGTGAGTGGTTTTTCTTTGTGCTGCACAAGCTTCACTTCATTTGCTCTGACCTCTGTGTTTAAGGGCAATACTCTTATCCTCTTATCACTCATGTCCTGATTGTGGGCTGCTGTTGTGACCATTGCCAGATCCTACTCTAAATAAATGGCTGCCCAGTTAGCAAAGCTGCATTCCCTATACGTTGTACAGCTATGTACTGTAGGTATTTGGAGCAAAGACAGATCTTCTTGCATATATATATGAAGTCTTTATTACAACACCACATCACACATATTGTAAAGAAGGAAGAAAACACTAGGTCCAAAGAAAAATATAGCTCTGAGAAATAAAACGGAAAAACATTTACACTTTTTGTGAATTGTATTTCTATTTGTAAATTGTATTTCTTTTCTATTTAATTTGGTATACTTATAAGTTTGCTGTGGTTAATTGTATACTTGGCAGAATTTGCAGATGTAGTTTGGATGGAATCAAGTGCTCATTTCTTAGCAAAAAGTGAGATCTGTTTGCTTATAGTTTCTAGTCATGATACTTGATCCCGTATTTTACCCATTCCCTGGGTCATTGAAGATGTTCTACCTCAGCCCATGATTAAAAAATATAGGGAACAATCGGTATACAGTTACTCTATAGTCCTTGAAAACACTCGACTTCATAAAGCTCCCATTTTCATAATTTTTTTCTTTTGTATGCACACAAGTTATGTTGATTTCATATATTTTTCTTTCCCTAGCCTCTAGTAAACCTCTACCGCCTACACCGGAGAATAACATGGTGAGTATCAAGATGTCGGTAGTACATATGGAAGCGACATCATATGTATGGCATTGATGTCATGAGGCCTGAAGTTCAGTTTTTGAAATGTTACAACAAATTTTACATCTAAAATGTGGATTAATGATTGCAATTTTTTTGTAACACCTCTAGTCAAACTTTTTAGTACAGGTAATAGATCTGCAATTTGTGGTGACCATATTTCAATATCCGTCATTTGCATGATCCCACATGATACCTTCTACTATTACTTTCTAAGAATACAGCAACCAAAGCCCAATTTGTTTAAAAAATGTAGGGCTCAGTTATTCAAGTTCAGTATCTATTTATAAATAAAAGGCCAATATTGAGCTAGTTTGGTCTAGTGGTTAAGGCATCAGGATAGAAAGTGGGAGTCTGTGAGTTCAAGTCCTACCATACCCATGAAAGCTGGCTGGGTAACTTGGGATTTTACTTTACTCTTTCTCAGGCCAACCTACCTCATGGGATTCTTATGGGTAAAATAGAAAGAGAAATATATATATTCGCCGTTTTGAATTATTTGTAAAAATAATAAAGGCAGCACACAAATAAATAAATAATAGATTCTAAAAGGCTAGTATGCCTATGGTATTAATATTACAAACAATAACAACAGCAACAGCAGCAGCAACAACAACAACAACAACAATAATAATAGTCCAACCCCCTGCTCAGGCAGGAAGCCCCATACCATTTCAGACAAATGATTGTCCAGTGTCTTCTTAAAAACTTCCAGTGTTGGAGCATTCACAACTTCTGTAGGCAGGTTGTTCCACTGATTAATTGTTCTAACTGTCAGGAAATTTCTCCTTAGTTCTAGAATTCTAGAAATCTCCGTGTTTTGAAATATAAGAAGATTTGACAAAGCTGGCATACTATATATGTAAACAAATATTTGTTGCATTCATTTTCTGCATTTAATAGGTCTTTCTTTTTAAAAAAAAAACAGAAATCATCACTGGATACCAAGGAATCTTCAGTAGTTGCCATTTATGATTATATTGCTCAGAATCCTCAGGAACTGACATTACGATGCAATGAGGAATATTATGTTATTGATAACTCTGAAGTCCATTGGTGGTTGGTTCAGGATAAGAATGGGTAGGTTTGTAGAAAAGACCATTTTTCTTTTTTTAAAAAATGTATGTTCTGATTCCCTCCTACATTACATTTTCCCCACATGCTGTAAGTTTCTTATTCATTTTGCTTTCCTGTCTTAGATTACTGCAGCATACTTTAAGTATAGTCCATGATGAATAAGATACTTATATATGTTCTGCTGTGTTTTTCTTTGGATGTCCTAGGACCTAGACATTGGTATTTGGACATAGATCTTTGTAACATTTATGTTTTATTGTCTTTTACTAATCTAGATGAAATGTTAATATATATTGCAAGTCCATGTATTATATGCCATACACAAAATAATAAATAATATGTTTTGAAATAAAATTGAAAGTTTTATTTTCTGTATCTAGTAAGGGATGGTGCTATTTACTCATTAATGTCATCAGCAAGTTTGGTATCATGTATTCTGCTCTAATAGACAATTTTAAACAAGTCATATACTGAAATTTCTCATCTTTTAATAACATGACAACTTATTTGTTGCAGGCATGGAGGATATGTGCCAAGCAGCTACATAGTAGAAAAATCACCAGATAATCTTCAAATATATAAGTAAGAATTCGTTGCTTCTTTGTATGTAGTATCATTAACAAGTTATAACTGAAATTTTGAAGTATGTAATTTTTAAATCTTCACATTAAGATGTCAATTCAATTTTTATTAGAAAAATAAACCGATAATCGCATTCAAAAGCATATAGAAAAATGTTAGCTAATCAGGACCCCCAAGCAATGTTAGAGTAGGTTAAAGTTCTTCTTTGAGATCATAGAATGAAATGGAAATCTCAGTCTCTCTTTCCTTCCCTTCCCTTCCCTTCCTTTTATTAAATGTGATCCTAGTCAGAGCCAGCTGACCTTCGCCATCTTCTTACACTTGCTGCTGACAAGGCCTTCCAAAAGCTTGCAAGAAGGCTCTGCCCGCCCTTCTCCAAATCATGCAATGCTTTGGAAAGCCTCCGAAGGTACAGATGGCCTCAGGAAGAAGGCCAGCCACAGCAAGCAACTGCCTTGCATAAGGGCAGGCATATGCCTTGTCAGCAGCTGAAAGAAAGAGATGGTGAAGGTCAGCTGGAGGCATCAGGGTCTACGGAGGCAGGATGGTCAGAGCACCTGGTGATTTGCACTGTAGTACTGGAGCTGCTGATTATGCCAGGGCTTCTCAGCAGCAGAAGTGGACTGGTGATGGTGGGGCCTGGGGGCAACAGTGGCTGGCTGAGACTGCCAGGCATCTAATTCAGGGCCAGGCTTCTAATTCAGCCTTGCATCATTGCCAAGGAGTGCTGCTGTGCAGGTTGGCCAGAAGGACAGAGATGGGAGAGTTCAAGAGGAGGCAGTCCCTTACCTTGCCAAAGCTCTGGACTGGGAGGAACCAAGACAGGAATGGCTTAAATCAGTATGGTCCTTGAATTGTGACTGGTTGGATTCAGTTAACAATGACAATGGGGGCTGCTGGCATTCACATCACTAATCAATGTGGTCGTGCTTTATGACTACATTGCTTAGCAATTGGAAATTTGAGTTCCAATTACCATCATAACCTGAGGACTACCAGAATCTACAAAAATGTTTTATGCCAAATATTAATGCTGTTTATGGATTGGTTCCATTTGACACACAACATGTTTTGCTTTGTACTTAACCATTGCAGTTGGTACAACAAGAATATCAGCAGAACCAAAGCAGAAGCAATGCTCAGGGAAGAGGTAAGATAAATCCCTTTAGGTAGTACTCACATTTTACCGTACTTAAATCAATTCTTGCTTCACCTACTTGGGCATATAAGAAAGTAACATTCAGTGATGTAATGAAGAAATCGAGTAGTAGTTTTGAATTGAAGTGGTTAAAAATGTTTAATTTGAATTGGTTGGTTATGGTGGTTATTGTAAATTATAATTTCCACTCATTGTTCCTCAGCCTGCCTGCTTCCTCACCTGATTGGTGAGCATATAAAATGTAGGCTAAATCACCATTTATTGATGTCCTGAGTCCTTTGGAAGAAGATTGCTATTGGAAAACATGAGATATCAACAGAGAACAAGCAAGAGGAATTAGCTGTCTTGTGCAACTAAAACAGAAGCCAAATTCCAGCTTTCAGCAGGTTTATCTGAATATTTTGGGAAGCCAAAACAGCCCAATTATTCAGATTAAATTGACATTACTGCATCCATTTTCCATAATTTCGGGGTTGTTTGGTCTGTTCCTTATTAGACATCTTCTCATTTTCTGGCTTCCTTGCATTTTTGTTTTGTTTTTCTTTCCTTTAGGCAAATTATGTATGGATGTACATATACAAGTATGAAATGCCTTTATTATATGATTAGCAATGGATACATTTGGTCACTGCAAGCCAGCTTGATCTAGCACAGTGGTTCTCAACCTTTTTAATGCCGCGACCCCCAACCGGTCGTAAGTCGAGGACTACTCAACTGGTGCAGCACCGTTTGCAGAATGGGACTTTTGGCGGGCTCAGCAGGGCAGAGACAGCCTGGACAATTCCTATTGGCTTTTGAAAGCCAATAGAATTAGACTCTATTCAAGAGAGTCTATTCTATTGGCTTTCAAAAGCCAATAGAATAAAAGGGAGTAGCACAGCTAAGGAAAAGGGGAAAAAAATGGCGGACTGCGTTGTTTGGCGACCCCCGTGAAATGGTCGTTCGACCCCAAATGGGGTCCCGACCCACAGGTTGAGAACCACTGATCTAGCAGTTAAGGTGAAAATTCAATTCTAGTCCTGCCTTAGGCACAAAAACAGCTGGGTAACTTTGGGCAAGTCACTCTCTCAGCAGAAGGCTATAACAAACTATTACTGAAAAAAATATTGCCAAAAAGATTGCATGGCCTTGTCCAGAAGTTGCCATGACTGGAATGAATGAATGAATGCTTATGGAGCATTTCAGACTTTAAAACTGGTCTTTTTCATCTTTCTGCAGGATAAAGAAGGAGCTTTCATGGTGAGAGACTCAAGACAGCGTGGCACCTATACAGTCTCTGTCTTCACAAAAGCATTAAAGTAAGCTAGATCTTAGGAAAGATGGCATTTTTTTAAAAAAAATCATTTTAATACAAAAAATAATATTCAATAAAACTTTGTCAGGCATTGGAAATAAAAAAATAATTTACTGTAATATACGGCTTCTTTGTGACATCTTTTGGAGAACTTTCCCTTCACAATGGTAATTCATCTTCATCTTATTTTTGCACAATTATTGTGGCAAATGCCTTTTAGCATAATTTCATATTTCAAAATAAAGTAAAAATAGATGTTATCTCTAATACCCTGACTTTGTTATTAAAACACTTTCTAATAAATAATGTACTAAAGGTCTGCAATTGGAATATAATACTATTACTAGGCTATTGGTATTCTTGCTGCCCTCTGGATTATTCATTTGCTCTGCTCTGCTTGTCTACTGCTTATTCCTTAAGAATCGGGGCAGCTAAGAGTGTCAACATATAAAAAAATGACCCCCTAATCCCAAATGTATTTAAAAGAGCATGAAGAAATAAAAACCAAAAGATACAAAAGTCCTACACCAGTGAACTCTACTTACAATTCCAACACATGAAACAGGTAGGGTTCCTAAAGCCCAAGAAAGATCAAGGTAACCAAACCTGCCAAAGAGTTTCAAGGAGTGTCAATGGCAATTCAAAATGGACCCCCTTCAAAGGCCTCATCAGGTGACAGTTCTTGAGTGACGGCACTTAGGAAGAGTTGACATTATTTGATCTGACTAACTGATGGATGAATATAGGAGATTATCACTCAGATAAACATACATTTGTTGTCAACATTAATTTCTCAACACTAACAGAAGGCAGAACAGAATTTTGGTGTTGCTGCAACAATAAACAACTTACATAAAAACTTCCTTTTTACAACTGTATAATCCCTTAATTTGGGAGTAGGGTTGGGGCGACTGGATGGAACTGATCATTCACATGGCCAGATACCCTTCCTGACACCTATATGGAGTTTGCAGCAGATATTTTTTCTTTGTGCCCTAGGAGAGAAACATCTATCATTACCTGGGATTGAACTCTCAACCTTCTATGTGGGAGGCAAGTGTCTTCACCACTAGGCCACCACACTGCTCAATAAACAATTTACATATTTCTCTGAAAACTAATTGTTAGAATTATTGATTCATAAATAATAATCTCAGCAAACAAAATTGTATGTTTCTATCTTTTCTAACTATTTATATAGTCTTCATATTTTTGATAAAATAATAGAATATGATACCATTGGTGTATTCATTTCATTAAATGTTCTTTAATCTTTCCAAAGTCGAAACTTGATAGTTTCAGTCTAAATAAACAATTACAGTTTTTATTTTCTGTATTGTTTTAATTTTCTTAAAGATGTAAAGTCTGGCTTTTCAGAGACATTTAATAATTCCCAATAGATTTTCTACACAGATCCTTTGGTGTTTTCCCCTAATTCCAATATTATTCTTTCAAAATCAGAGGAAAAGATAAAAGGATATTTGTTTTATATCTTCATTTTGAAGGAATGGTAGAACTTATATATATCCTAGCCAATTTAGTCTCCCAGTTTAGACTTTCCAAAGTGTGTCATTCTGGTACTTGTTTGGAGAAACATAACACGAGAAGAAGAAAAAAATATTGTTAATACTGTGGAACTATACAGGTAGCAGGACTCTAATAAAGTGGGTCATAATATTTATTCTATGGTTCAAACCCGAATTGGATTGATGCTTCATGAATCATTGCTCATTTTGCCCTACCTGGAAATTTTAGTAGTTTTTACATTATTTTAAAGAGGCATATTTGCTGTCTTTTTAGCAATGACAACAGCCCTGTTATAAAGCACTATCACATCAAGGAGACCAGTGACAAGCCCAAGAGGTATTATCTGGCAGAGAAACATATTTTTGATTATATCCCGGAATTGATCAATTACCACCAGTATAATGCAGGAGGTAAGTTGAGACAAGAAAAGTAAGAAGATGCAGATAACTTAAGTCTAAGATTCTAACATCTTAAAAATGGGAGGAAAAATTACCCTGACATCTGATGTTTTAAATAATTCCTTATTAGCAAAGTTCTTGTGGTAAATTAATATCATTTTGCTTAGTATCATAAAATGCTGAATGTTTCCTGAATTCTGGATCTCTTTTGCAGTAAGCCTGTATTTGCCTTCTCTTTATATGTGCTCCTAACTTTGAATTATATTGAAGAGAAAGATTCTATATAAATAAATGACAATTCTTTGCCTTTCTGAATATTCTGGGAGAAATTTAATATAAAATGCTCAGCATGTTCAGGTAGATGCTCAGAGTGGCTATATTGCGTATTCAAAACTTCACAGACCTTCCTGAAAATTTTCACATAATAGGAAAACTGTTTTGGTATACTTTATTGAAGTGTCACATTAGTAACTTCTTATTTCTATATTTGACTCTAAAATACATTCTTATAGTACATCTCCATAATTCTATTTTTATGGCCATCATCTTTTCTAAGCTACCAAAAGCTGGCACTTATGAGGGGTCCTTGGTGCTCTCTGGGCTTGGTTATTTTCTTGCAAACATCACTGTACATCAGTAGCACTGATGATGTTACCTAGTTTGGTTAATGAAATGTCTGCAATGAAAACAACCAAGCTTAGAGAGCACCAAGGAAACCTCATTTCAATCCTGAGTTAAAAATATTCTCCTTTATTGGTACTGACTCTTACTTTTGAGTTTTTTTTTAAATGTATTTGTATATTTCTTCAAAACACAGGTCTTGTTACTCGATTGAGATATGCTGTCTCCTCCTGGAGAGAAAAAGCTCCTGTTACAGCTGGATTAAGTTATGGTAAGTAAACTAGATGTAATTTTTTGGTTTTGAGACAAAATGGAAGTGAAACTCACACTTCCTTTCTTTAAAATTTAAATAAGGGTAAATAAGACAATCACAAATTCTCTTTGTTTCTGTGAATGGGAGTAAGAGTGTGGAGTATTAGAGGAGGAAATGATTACATGAAGGATTCCTAACCAAGTTCTTTCCACATACACAAACACTGGCACTATTGATTATATATCAATTATTATTTATTGGACAAAAGCAAGGTTGTTTTTCTTTTGCTTTTCCCTAGGTAAATGGATTATTAGTCCGCAAGAACTAACATTTGAACAGGAGATCGGTGTTGGCGAGTTTGGAGTGGTTCATCTTGGTTACTGGCTTGATCGGATGAAAGTGGCTATAAAGACAATTCGCACAGGAACAATGTCAGAAGAAGACTTTATTGAAGAGGCCCAAGTCATGATGTAAGCAGTAAAAATACCTACTTAATTCCCATTTTATTTATACGATGAATAATGTAATGACATGAATTTTAATCACTTTAGGTGGCTCACATTATTATTTATTTTAAATAATTTTGATAAGCGGGACCACAAAGTTTTTTATTATTTTTATAATTAAACTTAGAATCTTCCTCCAACTTATTCAAAGCAACACTGAATGTTGTGCATCACGGATGAAATTAAAAGATATGATTTGGTCGACACATCTCTTCTATAAATATTTACTGGAAAATTAGACTTTTCAAATGAATGTTGTTGTCTACAGTTATGTGCCGATGTTTGTATGAATGAGTATTAGCAAATGCAGAGTGCTTCTTAGTCTCAAGCTGACAACAGGCATTTTTAACATTAGGCAATTCTAATGGCATAAAGCTTCTAAAGAAATGTGCATTAAATAACTGTAGTCAGTTTTTGGTTTGTTTGAGTGTTCCTTTATACTTCAGAATTTTGCTATGTATTATTTTTGAAGTAGTAAATAGTTTCTATCGTTGGTACATACAAAGAAACTTTTAAAATATGACTGCTTTGTGATTTTAAAAAATCTTACTTACATATATATATATAAAAAAAAAAACCCCATCCCCCACCCCTCACAAAAACCCTCCCTTCCCCCCCCCTGAGCTTCCCAGAGCAGAATATAGGCTTAATTAAAAATTAAGAAATAAAAATAAAAAATTAAATTAAAAAATTTATATTTATATATATATAAAAAAAAATATCTGTATATATATATAAAAACAAAACTTATAAAAAAGCTATGTGATATTTTTGTATACCCAATCTAAATTGTATAAATTTTATCCATTTGTCCCAAACAGCAAGAAACTTCTCTTGCGTTTGTTGCTTTAAGAAAGCCGAAATCTTTGCCATTTCCGCCAGATAAGCTACTTTAAGAAACCATTCCTGCAATGTAGGCAAAGATTCCTTCTTCCAATATTGTCCTACTAACAGCCTAGCGGCTGTAATCAAATTTAACATCAATACAACCTCCTTTGTATCACAATCTGTAACAATGCCTAACAAAAATAATTGCGGAGTAAATTTTACCCTCCTTCTAAAAATTCTCTGGATATTCCACCATATTTTGATCCAAAATGCTTTTATCTCTCTGCATGACCACCAAATATGATAATAGGAAGCATCCTTATAACCACATCTCCAACATTTGGGTTGCACGTCAGGGTACATAAGAGACATTTTTTGTGGATCAAGGTGCCATCTATAAAACATTTTATAAAAATTCTCCCTAAGGTTCTGTGCTTGTGTAAATTTGACATTTCTCACCCAAATGGTTTCCCAAATGTCCAATGAGACTGGGACACCAAAATTCTGCGCCCATCTAATCATACAATCTTTAATTAATTCCGTTTCTGAGTCCATTTCAACTAATACCCCATAAATTCTCTTGATATGGGTTTGTCTTTGATCCTTGACTTGCTTAATAAGATTTCCATCTTCTCTAAGAAAACCCAATTTACAATCCACCTTCCATTTATCTACTAGTTGCCTATATTGAAACCAAGAATAAATAATATTTTCTTGCGCTAAATCTTCCCGTATTCTTAACTGCCAGTTTTGCCCATCCCATCTAAGTAACTGACTATAAGACACCATGTCCATTTTTACTCCTCTTTTTATTCCTTCTATCGCATGCCAAGGTATAGCCCATAATGGAACTTTAAAATCACTTTTATAATATTTTCTCCAAATCCTAAGTAAAGAAATTCTTAAAATATGAGATTTAAAGACCCAGTCCATTTTTTTATTAAATATTAAATAGGCATGCCACCCATAAAGTAAATCCCATCCCTCTAAATGAAGTATCTCAGGATTTGTCAAATTTACCCAATCACTGATTAGTGTTAAAACCACCGCATCGTAATATAATTTCAAATTTGGTACCTTAAGTCCACCCCTCTCACGGAAGTCTTGCATAATTTTAAACTTAACCCTTGGCTTTTTCCCTGCCCAAATAAATTTATTAAGACCCTTCTGCCACTCACTTAAATTAATCTCATTTTTCAAAATCGGTAACATTTGAAACAAAAAAAGAAACTTGGGTAGAATATTCATTTTTATCACTGCAATTCTTCCCATGAGGGATAATTGCAACTTCTCCCAATTCTTCAAGTCCTTCTGTACCCTGACCCACAACCTTTCATAATTATTTTTAAATAATTTTACATTAGAAACAGACAACATCACCCCCAAATATTTTACCTTATTAACAATCTCAAAACCCGTCAAGTTAGCCAAAATCTGCTTCTCCTGACTAGACATATTTTTAGGTAAAATTTTAGTCTTATTTACATTAATCTTGAAACCCGAAACCAAACCATAATGATGAATCAACTGTAATAAGTTTACTGCAGAATAATCAGGTTGCGACAAAGTAACAACCAAGTCATCCGCAAAAGCTCTCAACTTATATTCTTTTTTGTTAACTTCTATTCCTTTAATTTCCTGAGACTCTCGAATTTTGATCAATAATATTTCCAGTGTTAAAACAAACAACAATGGCGATAAAGGACACCCCTGTCTAGTACCTTTCTCTATTGTAAAAACCTCCGACAAACCTCCATTAACGATAAGTTGTGCCGTTTGTTTTTGATATATTACCATAAGAGCTTGCAATATCTTTTCACCAAAATTCATCTCTTCCATTACTCTTAACATAAAATGCCAATTCAATTGATCAAAAGCTTTTTCAGCATCTAAAAATATCAGCCCTGCAGGAACTTGGTTGTTTTTATCTAAATATTCTAATAAATTAATAATTTGTCTGACATTATTTTTCATGTACCTTCCAGTTATGAACCCAGATTGATCTTTATGCACAAGGTGATGCACAACCCTCATAAGCCTATTTACTAAGATTTTTACAAATATCTTGTAATCCACATTTAAAAGAGATATAGGCCTATAATTTTTTGGTAAAGTAAGATCTTGATCCTCCTTTGGAATCAATGATATAAAAGCACTACGCCATGAAGGAGGAATCTCTAAACCCTGTAAGATACCATTAAAAAGATCATTTAATGGTTGGATCATCTCCTCCATTAAAGCTTTATAATAAACAGCTGTTAACCCATCCGTACCCGGTGCTTTCCCTAGTTTCAATTGTTGAATTGCTGAGGCAATTTCCTCCTTAGTAATTAAGCCATTAATTTCATGTTTCTGATCCTCAGTCAATTTAGGAAAACTTGCCTCAGCTAGATATTTGTTTATATCTAGCAGTTGCACATTAGTAGATTTGTATAACTTTTGATAATAATCCAAAAAAGATTTTTTAATCAATTCCTTCTGAGAAACTAATTTACCCTTGTAATTTATTTTCTCTATTATTCTCTGTCTCTGTTTCTTTCTTAATTGATAAGCCAACCATCTCCCAGGCTTATTAGCATTACAAAATGTATTTTGTTTCATAAACAATAAATTGGTTGCCGCTTGATCTGCTATCAACATATTAAATTGTGACCTTAGTAACTTTACAGATTCTTTAATACTTTCATCAGAAGGATTTAGAATCAAGGCCCTTTCTTTTAATTTAATTTCATCTTCAAGTTCTCTACGTTTCTGCAACTGCTTCCGCTTATGACAATTATTCATTTTTATCAAAACACCACGCATAAATGCTTTACCTGCATCCCATACCATTGACATTGAAGTCCCCTTATACATGTTCAAAGCAAAATAGTCCTTTAAACACTCCTTTAACTTTTGAACATTCTTCTCTTGTCTGAACAAATTTTCATTAACTCTCCAGGATCTCCTTTCCTCTTTCTCTTGAGTCAGCTCCATCCAAACTGGGCTATGATCCGTCAGTGATCTAGGAAAAATCTTTACATTCTTTACTTTATTATACAAATCCGTAGTAATCAAAAAAAAGTCAATTCTTGAAAAAGATTGGTGTCTATCAGAAAAAAAAGTGAAATCTCTCTCCTCTTGATTACATTCCCGCCAATAATCCCTTAATTCCCAGTCTTCCTTCATATCAAAAAAAGCTTTAGGTAACCTTGCTTGTTTAAGAAAAGGAGAGGAACCTTTCTTGTCCCTTTGTATATCTAAGACACCATTCCAATCACCCATTAATACCACTGATCTATAGTCAAGCAATGTTATTTTTTGATGTAACTGCTTATAAAATTGTTCCTGTTGTTGATTTGGAGCATAAAGTCCCACTATGAGTACTTTCTTTTGTATATGTTGTCTTTTGTTTTGTATTGTTTTTGTTTTTTTGTAAAATTTATAAAACTTTCAATAAAAAAAAAAAAATCTTACTTACACTATTTTGCTATTTCTCACAAACATGACTGTCTCCCAAACATGATTGGCACAATTAGGCATTAAACCATTGGGATCTTTCTTCTAGAAGCTGTATTGTTACAAGTTCTACAGAATCTAATCTCTAATATTGTTTTTAATTAGCTTTTAAGAAAATTATTTTTCTTTGAGGTGAACTTTATTCCTGATGATTCTATGGCACATATTTAACAAGATTCTTATTTTTCAGAAAATAAAAAAATTTTGTCTATGGAATTTTGTCTATGTGTGAAGGTAGTAACTTCACAATTGGTTTCCATTTCAAGAATTATCCATAATGAATGAGGGAAATGTAACATGGTTTCTTTATTTCTTAGCATATCAGTCATATATCTGGGTTTCTTCTTTTGTGGTATTCTTTCTTATTTTCTGTTGAAAATTTCTATCTGGTTTATCTTTTTGCATCATCAGGAAAGTATCTCACCCCAAATTGGTCCAGTTACATGGGGTATGCATGCAAAATTCTCCTATATGTTTAGTATTTGAGTTCATGGAGTTTGGATGTTTATCTGATTACCTGAAAAGGCAACGTGGAAGCTTATCAAAGGAAGTACTTCTCGGAATGTGTCAAGATGTTTGTGAGGGAATGGCTTATCTTGAGGAGGCATCTGTCATTCATAGAGATCTGGTATGTTTGAATCACATCTGGTTTCCCTGCAAATAAATCTATAAGATAAAAAGTCAGTATAAAAATGAAATTACACCATTATCTTTAAATTTTAACGTAAGAAATCTTTCAGTGTTTGGACAATGTACAACAGTGGGGATTGTGCAATATTTCTGATTATTCCTTCTATGTGAGAGTATTAATTTTTTTATTGATTTTGTCTGGTTTTCTAGTGCCCACTAGTTTTTGATGTGAAGTAAATTTAATGTCTTTGTGGTTTGCTAATTGGGTATATTATATCACACTAAGGTTCTGTCTGCTGAGCCTAGATGGAGGGGATTATAAAGGATTGGATAGAAAAAAACAGGTTCAGAGTCAACCTTCATAAAATTGAGTCCCTGTGGATTATGGGACTTCCTGGATCCAGAGATTTTCCATCTTTGGTTCAGGATGGGATAGCATGGACTCAAACAAAGCCAGAGCTCCATTTACAGAATCTTCTAGACTTATGGCTGCTACTCAAAAAGCAGATGGCAGCCATGAATTAGAGGGCCTTTGCACAGCTTCATCATATAGTAATAGTAGTAAAGTTGGAAGGGATCTTGGAGGTCATCTAGTCCAACCCCCTGCTCGGGCAGGAAACCCTACACCATTTCGGACAAATGGCTGTCCAGTCTCTTCTTAAAAACTTCCAGTGTTGGAGCATTTACTGCTTCTGGAGGCAAGCTGTTCCACTGATTAATTGTTCTCACTGTCAGGAAGTTTCTCCTTAGTTCTAGGTTGCTTCTCTCCTTGATTAGTTTCCACCCGTTGCTTCTTGTCCTGCCTTCAGGTGCTTTGGAAAATAGCTTAATTCCCTCTTCTTTATGGCAGCCCCTGAGATATTGGAATACTGCTATCATGTCCCCCCTTGTCCTTCTCTTCGTTAAACTAGACATACCCAATTCTCGCAACCGTTCCTTATATGTTTTAGCCTCCAGTCCCCTAATCATCTTTGTTGCTCTTCTCTGTACTCTTTCTAGAGTCTCAACATCTTTTTTACATCGTGGTGACCAAAACTGGATGCAGTATTCCAAGTGTGGCCTTACCAAGGCATTGAAGAGTGGTATTAATACTTCACGTGATCTTGATTCTATCCCTCTGTTAATGCAGCCTAGCACTGTGTTGGCCTTTTTGGCAGCTGCAGCACACTGCTGGCTCATATTTAAGTGATTGTCTACTAGGACTCCGAGGTCCCTCTCACAGTTACTACTATTGAGCATGGTGCCACCTATGCTGTACTTGTGCATTTGGTTTTTCTTGCCTAAATGTAGAACCTTGCTTTTTTCACCATTGAATTTCATTTTGTTAGTTAGTGCCCAGTGTTCAAGTCTGTCCAGATCCTTCTGTATCTGAAGCCTGTCTTCTGGAGTGTTGGCTATTCCTGCCAGCTTGGTGTCATCTGCAAATTTGATGAGTTCCCCATCTATCCCTTCATCCAAATCGTTGATGAAGATGTTGAAGAGTACTGGGCCCAGAACAGAGCCCTGGGGCACCCCACTACACACTTCCCTCCATATAGATGCAGTTCCATTGAGGACCACTCGCTGAGTACGGCCGGTCAGCCAGCTACGGATCCATCTGGTGGTGGTTCTGTCTACCCCACATTTTTCTATCTTGTCAAGTAGTAGGTTGTGATCTACTTTATCAAATGCCTTACTGAAGTCCAAGTAAATTATGTCCACAGCATTCCTCTGATCCACTAATTTTGTCACTTGGTCAAAGAATGCAATAAGATTTGTCTGGCATGATCTATTTTTGACAAACCCATGTTGGCTTTTAGTAATGACTTTGTTTGCCTCTAGGTGTTCGTTGATTCGTTGTTTGATTATCTTTTCCAGGATCTTCCCAGGTATTGAGGTCAGGCTGATAGGTCTGTAATTTCCTGGATCCATTTTTTTTCCTTTTTTGAGGATGGGAACTACATCAGCTCTTTTCCAGTCCTCTGGTAGTTCCCCTGTGTTCCAGGATCTTTGAAAAATATAGTTCAGTGGCTCCGATATCACATCTGCCAGTTCCTTGAGAACTCTGGGGTGTAATCCGTCTGGTCCTGGCGATTTGAACTCATCTAGGCTGGACAGGTGCTCACTAACGATTTTCTTGCCTATCTTAACTTGTGTTTCTGTTTTGTTTTTTGTGGCACTATTTTTGATAGGTTGGTCTGTTTTTTCCCTTTGTGTAAAGACAGATGCAAAAAATGAGTTAAATAGTTCTGCTTTCTCCCTGTTGCTTGTCACCTTCTTGCCACTTCCACCCACTAATGGACCAATCATTTCCTTCACTTTTTTCTTGTTTTTTACATGTTGAAAGAAGCTTTTTTTGTTATTTTTGACTTTGGTCGCAAGCCTTAGTTCATTTTGAGCCTTGGCTTTCTTCACTTCATCTTTGCAGGCTCGGGCTATTTGCTGATATTCTGACTTAGTTATGTTCCCCTCTTTCCACTTTCTATACTTGTCCTTTTTATCTTTCAATTTGTCAGAGAGTTCTTTATGCAGCCATGCTGGTTTCTTTTGAGAGCTGTTATTTTTCCTCTTTGTTGGTATTGTGCTAGACTGTGCTTTTATTATCTCATTTTTCAAAATTTCCCAAGCTTCTTGAGTTGTTTTCCCCTTGAGGATTCTCATCCATGGAATCCTTCCCAAGCCCTCTCTAAGTTTATTGAAATTAGCTCTCTTGAAGTCCAAGACTCTAGTTTGACTGTGTTCTATTGGTTGTGCTTCTATAATGTTGAATTCTAATATTGCATGATCACTTCCTCCCAGGGTTCCTATGGCTTCAACACCGTCTATCATTTCATCTCTGTTAGTGAGAATTAGATCCAAAATGGCTAATCCCCTAGTTCCCTTCTCTACTTTTTGGGAGACAAAGTTGTCTGCTAGGTTTGCCAGGAACCTGTTTGATCTTCCACTTGGTGCGGAGTTTGTCTCCCAGTTGATGTCAGGGTAGTTAAAGTCCCCCATTACTATTGTGATGTGCTTCCTACATACCTTAGTTAGCTGACTAGCAAAAAGTTCATCTATTTCCTCTGTTTGGTTGGGTGGTCTGTAGTATACACCTATGGCAATGTCATTTGCCCCCCCTTTTATATTGACCCAAATGCATTCAAGACAGTTTTTATCATTGTTGTACTCTATTTCTGTGGAGATGTAGTTATTTCTTATATAGAGAGCAACTCCACCTCCTCTTTTATTTGGTCTGTTTCTTTTAAATAATTTAAATCCCTCTAGCTGTGTGTTCCATGTGTGAGTTTCATCCCACCATGTTTCCGTAATGGCAACAATATCGTATCTGCCCTCATTAACCTGAATTTCTAGTTCACCCTGTTTGCTGTTCATACTTTGTGCATTGGTGTATAAACATTTGAGTCCTTTGTGGGTGGCCCTGTGTTTCCTTTCTACATAACCTGTGTGGTGCCTGAGTTCCCCTATTGTCTTACCACCTATTTGGTTAGTGCACTTTATATGGCACTCGCTATTAGAGGCTTCATTTTGATTGGTAGCAAGGTTGGTATTCTTGTCCACACACACATCTATGCTACATGCACTGATATCCCTATAGTTTTTAAATTGCCGGGGACAAGGTTGTTCCGTATCAATTAACTCCCTGTCCCCGCTGTTTAGTTTAAATTTCCTTCCAGAAAATCTGTGAATTTATAGCCGAGTAACTCAGTCCCTTTTTTTGATGGATGCAAACCATCTCTTTTGTACATCTTTTGATTGGACCAGCTACTGACATCGTGACTAATATATCCAAAGCCTTTCCCTTTACACCACTCCTTTAGCCACATATTGAATTGTGCTATGCGCTGGCCTTTTCCATTTTGCTCCTTATACACTGGTAAAACCTCTGAGAAAGTAAGCCTACAGCCTATTCTGCTAAGTTCCTTCCCCAAGCTCTGGAAATCATTCTGCACAGAGAGTACATCTTTTTGGGACAGATCATTAGTGCCAAGATGTACAATAGCCTCCACATCACAGTCCTTGCTGCCATTCTTGATTATTTTAGAAATACGCTTCTTGTCCCTACTGGCAGTAGCACCTGGAAGACACCTGACCTCTTTCAAAGCCTCTGTGTCCTTTCCTAAATTTACATCCCTTATAATTGAATCACCTACCAGAAGGTAGCTTCTCTTTTTGGGAGCCTTTCTATTCTTGCATGACTGATGTGCAATACCTGATTCACACTTCTCCCTGTCAAAATCTAGTTCTTCATCTCGGACCACAATCCCCTGCTTATTTGAGTTATCTTCACAAATACCTTTACCAGTCTCCTTAATGTCCCTATTAAGGTCAGCAAGAGCACTGTAGCTGTTGTGCAGGGACACAGCGAAAGCTTTGTGTTTATGGTTCACAGCTCTCACCCTGCCAGATCCCACGGTTGTCCACACTGCCCTTTTCCTGCAGGATCTTTGTGGTAAAGGGGGCTGATAGCAGGGAGGCTTATTAGAGTAGAGGGGCTGAACTGGACACCTAATTTCTGCCCGAAGAGCGCAGATTACAGACCCTAAGTAAATGATCTGTCCTTGTAGGCTAGTGATTTGTTTACAGATAGGACAGTTTCCAAGTTTGAAAAGGGTACTGCGAAAGACAGCTGCAAAGCAGGTGTTGCACTGAACTAAGCCGGACATCTTAGATACAGGGGATGTCAGACACACTTGCCCTGAATGTACTGCTACTGTTTGTGATTTTTAGTTATATAATTATATAATTTGCGTGCCATTAGGCGCGCGGGCCGCTACTTTCCTGGTGGATTCTCCCAAAACTTACAGTTTAAGCAGCAGCTGGTGGGATGTAGCACGTTCCAGCACCCGACCGAAGTTGGAATGGGGTTTAAATAGAGTATAATACACTATAAATATAATGGAGATCCAATCAGGGCCTCGCTACTTTCCTGGTGGATTCTCCCAAAACTTACAGTTTAAGCAGCAGCTGGTGGGATGTAGCACGTTCCAGCAACCCGACCAAAGTTGGAATGGGGTTTAAATAGAGTATAATAGACTATAAATATAATGGAGATCCAATCAGGGCCTCGCTACTTTCCTGGTGGATTCTCCCAAAACTTACAGTTTAAGCAGCAGCTGGTGGGATGTAGCACGTTCCAGCAGCCCGACCAAGTTGGAATGGGGTTTAAATAGAGTATAATACACTATAAATATAATGGAGATCCAATCAGGGCCTTGCTACTTTCCTGGTGGATTCTCCCAAAACTTACAGTTTAAGCAGCAGCTGGTGGAATGTAGCACGTTCCAGCAGCCCGACCAAAGTTGGAATGGGGTTTAAATAGAGTATAATAGACTATAAATATAATGGAGATCCAATCAGGGCCTCGCTACTTTCCTGGTGGATTCTCCCAAAACTTACAGTTTAAGCAGCAGCTGGTGGGATGTAGCACGTTCCAGCAGCCCGACCAAAGTTGGAATGGGGTTTAAATAGAGTACAATACACTATAAATATAATGGAGATCCAATCAGGGCCTTGCTACTTTCCTGGTGGATTCTCCCAAAACTTACAGTTTAAGCAGCAGCTGGTGGGATGTAGCACGTTCCAGCAACCCGACCAAAGTTGGAATGGGGTTTAAATAGAGTATAATAGACTATAAATATAATGGAGATCCAATCAGGGCCTCGCTACTTTCCTGGTGGATTCTCCCAAAACTTACAGTTTAAGCAGCAGCTGGTGGGATGTACCCACCCCTGGATCAGCATGCCCTGTTCATGGTCATTCATATCCTGGTCACTCAAGAAATTCATTTTTTTTTCTGTTTGCCAGAAGTTCATAAAGGGTTTTCAGTCAGCAATAAATGTGGGTATTGTACAATGTGGCTCATATTTTCTCTACAAATATATTCTTTCTTTTCTTTCCCACAGGCTGCTCGGAACTGTTTGGTGGGTGAATTTCAAGTTGTCAAAGTGTCAGATTTTGGAATGTCACGGTAATATAGGTTTCTTATACATTATTAGCCCTATGGTTGATAAGTGGAAATCTACTAGTTTTTGAGTTATATCCAACCTAACCCAATTAAAATTTATTGGATTGGCAAATGCTTCTAAAGCTCATCTCTGCTCTGTTTCTGCTGCAATTTCTTTAACCTACTCCTTTCTTGACAGCCAGCTTAAGAGAACTAAAGGATCTCAATGCATTTTTGTATTAGTTTATCATTTGAATTTTCCCACTATTCACCTCTGCAAATATGTAACTTGTATGAATGAAGTCAGTAAGGTTCATAGTACAGCCTTTCCCAACCAGGCCCTCTTCAGATGTGTTAGGACTAATTCCCAACATTGAAAACCAAACCCATCTAACCAAACTACTACATTGAAGAAGGCAGCTATGACTCATATTTGGAGTGCTATATTGTATAGCAACTCTGCTTGCTTATTGGGGCATTAGTTCTCCTGCCCTTTCAATGCAATTTCTTTTCCCATAAAACTTGCAAATCATATTCTGAAGGTGCCCAAGGGATTACATTAGGGAAAAGAAATTTTCTGCTCATAGTTATGCTGGTAGAAGTTCTGCACAGGACGTTATTGGAGTTCACCTGTGAGTTCCATTCACTGAAACACCCAACATCCTATCATGTATACTTCTCTAGTATCATTTCCTTCTTTGCAGATACCTTTCTATCACTTGCCAGCCAGACATATTCCAATTATATTTTATTGGTAATCTGAAGTCAGTTTCTTTCCACAGACATTACTGCTTTTCTAAAGAGGAGAGTGTGAAAGAATAGCGCTACTCATAAAATCAATGAGGGCATTGGTTATAGTATAACAACAAGCCGTCTGTCTTATTTCAATAGCTTCCATAGTACCGACAGTTAAAGAGAAGCATGTCTATAGAATGGTTAGTGTTTGATAACCTGGAATGACAATCAATCTATGTAACTTGCAATCTGGGTATATATATTCCTGTTCTATTACTGTTGGTGGATCACGTATATAAAAAGGTAGAGCCTCCTGTATCATTATAACTCATGGTTTCAAATTAATGATTCAATAAGATTCTGAGATTTGAATCTTTTGTTTTCCATGCATGAGCTATAACAGAATTACCGGTTAATGACTTTAAACAAGTTTATCTGTTTTAGGTATGTTCTTGATGATCAATATACCAGTTCCATGGGTACTAAATTCCCCATCAGGTGGTCAGCACCAGAGGTTTTTTCCTATAACCGCTATAGCACCAAGTCGGATGTATGGTCATTTGGTAAGAGTCTTAAACAACAAATATCTAGTCACATAATTGCTTCAAGGTCTTGTGGTTAAAAGGCTGTTCATTGTTTGTCTTAACAGGACAAGAAATTCGACCATGTTTTTGTCTTAGATGATCTCTAAAAATATTTGAATATCTTTTTTTAAAGTGTAAAGTATTTAAAGCCATATTTATCTTTAGAACAGTGGTTCTCAACGTTTGTGTGATGGCGACCCCCGTCACACAAACGTGCTGCGCATGTGCGGCGTGCATGCGCGGCGGCGGCACCCCCTGAGAGGGGAAAATGGCGGATCGCCTTCTTTGGCGACCCCCGAAAAATGGTCGATCGACCCCAAATGGGGTCACGACCCATAGGTTGAGAACCGCTGCTTTAGAATTTTGTAAAGATAGAGCAACATAAATTCCACAAAACATGAGATCCTTCCATAGTTTATTATCACACCACATCACATGATTGGCATAAAAGGGGCTTTTCTGCTTCACCCTTCTCAGTCCATTTCATATTTTTACTGGGTTGTTAAATCAATAGTATAATCCAGAAATGAAAATGAAATATATCTATGAATGAACAACTCAAAAGCAATTAATATTTTAATTTATTCAGCTGAAAGGGAATCTTGTATGGAATATATAAAAACATTTACAATACCTGAATGATAAAAACATTCCTTTAGTTAGAACTAGTGCTGCTTAGCATGGGTGGCAGGATTTGGGGTCTCTTATCATAGGTATACAGGGACTGTTTATTCAAGAAATATCTAAAGAACTTTCTATTTCAATTAAGATTTTTATTTAAAAAAATTTCCATGCTGACAATTGAATAAAAATCAAGTTAACTGTGATAGGTTTGCAAGGATCCCAAATAATCTGGTTTGCTATTTCCAGTCAACCAGAAGAACAGCATTTTACATTTCAAGGACAGTTCAGATTTTTTTTGCTTCTCATTCTTTCACCTTTCTTCTTTTAGACAAGCTCTTTTGAAGCCAGCCATTTAGCAGGTTGATTCACATCAACAAATTTTGATTCTAGTTAAGAAAAGGTCATAGGAGATTGTTCAAATGAATCGGTGCTGTTCTTTATTTTATTTTTCTAAAATTATAGCAGTAGCAGTAATAGTGATTTATTTTCTCCAGGATGACCTGTCCCCAACTTAATCTATTGCCATTCATTGCCATTGTGATTGAGTCTATTCACCTTGGTTATCGTTTTCTTTCTTTCCTTCCAATTCACCCAAAATTATAGACTTCTCCCAAGAGCCTGATCTTTGCACAATATGTTCAAAAATACGACAATTTGAACCTGTTCATTTGTGCCCTGAGTAAGAACTGTGGAATTGATTTGTTCAATGATTCATTTGTTTGTTGTCTTGGCTATTTGTGGGATTCTCAAAAGTATTTCTCAACATCAAAGTTGTCAGAAATCTTCCTGTCTTGGATTTTCAAAGTTCAGTTTTCAGATTCATATAATGTCATAGAGAAAAATATTTCCTGCACAATTCTGATTATGTGGTATAGAATACCTAAAAGTATGTATATATAGAATACATCTGAATATCATTTACAGGCCTTCATTTCTATTCTACTAAGCGCTATTCTGAGGCATAAGTTATCCCACCATTTCAGCAGCTTTCTTATTGATTGCACCTGTTGTCATTAGTTTGGCCATCTGTATATATAATCTTAATCCCCTGTTTTCACTGTATTCCTTTATTTCATTATTGGAGCTTGCAGATCATTTGCATTTCAGGTATCAAAATAGTGTCATCAGCATCATGCAGATATTCCTCCACGTTTAACTCATGTTCAGCTTCTTCCAATCTAGTTTCCCTTAATATGTATTTAACATATAGGTTGCATAAATAAGGGGCGAGTACACATTCTTCTCTCTCTTTTGCCAATCTGAAGCTTATGTGCCAACACTGTGGCTTCCTGATCTTTCTATAGTTTCTGCATGAGGGCAATAGGATCTTTCAGAGTTTTTAAACAGATTTAGCAGTCGGACATGATCAGCACAATGAAAGGCCTTTCTATAATCTCATAAGTTAAATATAAACTCATACTGACTCCTTGTTGATATTCTTTGACTTTCTCAATTATCCAGTTATGTCTTATATTCCTCAGCCTTTTCTAAAGCCAGATTGAGCATGTGGCATCTCCTCTTCCATGTTAGGTTGTAAAGTTAAGGAATATTTATAATATTTTGCACATTTCTTTCTTATTGATATAAAGACTGACCTCTGCCAATCTGTTGACTTCTAGGTTGTTGTCTAGATTTGCTAGTGTAGTTTGATTGGAACCTTTACCGCATCTTTTTCTGTTGCTTGCCACAATTCTATAAATATTCCATTAGTTCCCATAGCCTTCCAAATGATGAGGAGGAGAGTGCTGATCATCTTCTAACATGAGAGGGTCTTGTAAATACAGAATATCTTCTTCAGTATCTTGGATGTTGATATCTACTGTATATTGTACAGAATCTCAATATACTCCTTCTATTTTTGTTTGACTTTTTTGGAATCAGTTACTGTCTGTTCATTAGTGTCTTTTATCACATCATTTCAAGTTGGAAACTCTTGAATTCAGAGATTTTTTGGGGAAGGCTTTCCTTGTTTTTTCATGCCTGTTTACACAGTGCCTTTATAGATATTGTTGCAATGTAGCTTCTTGTCTCTTCTAACAGTTTTCTGAAACTCTTTGTTAAGTTTCTTCTGAAATCTTTGTCTTTCTTGGTTGAGCTTCTCTTCTCTTCTTGGCAATTTCCATTGTTTATTCTGATAACTGGCTTGATTCCTTTCTTTTCTTTTTCTTTCTTCTTTCCTTCTTTTTTTTGTTTCTTTGTCTTTGGCAGTTTCTTTTCACATTCATTCTTAACAACATCTTCAAATTCATTCCACAATTCCTATGGTTCCTTATTGGTGAGATGCAGCACGTCAAAGTGATTCCTAATGTTCTTCTTGAAAATGTTGGATATATGGTCAAGATCATATCATGGAAACTGGTTGGCTTTCTGCTTCCACTTTAGCTTAACTTGGAACTTGAATGTTACCTGCAAAGATTGTAAATGCAAGGACTGTCCAAAGTTAATTTTTCATCAGTGTGGTAATTTGAAAGAGTTGCTAAAGAAGTCAGTTGCTAAACGAGGACTAGCTGTAGTATAGTCTCCTGACTGAAAGTGTTGATTTGCTGATACATAAAATGTCTATGTGTAAGCGATTCATTTGATTCTTCACTGTGTGGAGCTTTTCTATGTTTATGCTTCTTACATTTTATGCTCCCATTGTAATTCTATCTTTGTAGCTTCAGATTTTCTTTTCTTCCATGGAAGCATCCTGAAGGCTTTAATTTAGTCATTAGTACCTTGAAAGATCCACAGCTCTTCCTCAATAGTGTGTTGAGTGCCATTTGACCTGAGGGGGCCATCATTCAGCACTATATTGTTTTTCACATTATAATGTTTATCCTTGTGGTTTTTTGGTGAAATGCACAAGTAGTTTGATAATTGCCTTTTCCTGCCAGTGTGAAATGATGTCACTAAACTGATCATCTGCTTCTAGCATCTTCCTCTATCACCACTGCCCAATAGAGAGGTCTGCTTGTTTTAGCAGGCAGCTGGGATGACCACCATATCTTAGAGGACCCTGTGAGGATTATATTCTCTTGACATACATTTCTGTCATTCTTCACTCATCCCACCTGCCTCTGCTGCCACAATACACAGAACAGCAGGATTAGGGAGGAGGGGGAGTGTAGTAATAGTAACTGACAGTGAACAAACAACATATGACTATATACTCAAAAGCAAACTCATAATCTGTTGACAATCTGGAGCCTGCTATTATTATTTCAATAGGATGACTAAGCAATGTGCATCCTTAAATCTTAATTTAGGAGAAAGTTCCTTTAAACTTAATGAAACTTCCTCTAGTTATCTATAGGATTACATTGTGAATCTCACTGAAAAAATGACTATTTTAAGCAATGGATCAAAACATTAAGATATTTGAGCGAAAGACGGAATGGAGGACATTATTATGCTATTCTTCATGAATTATGTGTCTTGTCTTATTTTAGGAGTATTGATGTGGGAGGTATTCTCTGAAGGCAAAACTCCTTACGAGAATCGGACAAATGCTGATGTGGTAGAAGAAGTCAGTGCTGGCCTCCGATTGTATAAACCCAGACTTGCTTCCAATACCATTTATAATCTTATGCAACATTGTTGGAATGAGGTTAGTACACCCTATTTCATGCAAAAAGATGTAAGAATGAAGTAATATATTCTCTATTGAGTCATCCAACTCTTGATGATTTGATGGACCTGACTGTAAAGTCAGTAGAGAAAAGGTTTCTCACAAAATGGCATTTTTTTACTTTCTATTATCTATCTATTAAGGATATAACTAAGTTGTTATCTGGAAGTTTTATTATTGAAAAAAATGTAATTATTCAACTACACATACTCTAACTAAGATATAGGGGCCATATAAATGTTACTACTTATTTTATTAAATTACAAGTATCTGTGATCACTTATCAAGAGTTTCTGTCAATGGGGAAATCTAAAAAGAAGCAAATATTCATCTTTAACATGGAATGTGGGATTTTAAAAAAAACATTATTTAGAATGGCTTATTTTACCTTTGGATTTTAAATTATACTTATTTAAGAATAGGGTTAAATATCTTTCTTGTAAAGTTGGACCATTCATCTAGTAGCATAATTCTTTGTTATGAATTTCCCTTCCGACTTCCTATCAGTTACAAATGGCTTCACCTCCAGAAGGGAGGAAATTATCAATACATTTGCTACTGGAGAACACCATTATAGTCTCTTGAATTCATCAATGTGCAGTATTCATCTAAAATGTTATTTTGTTATAGACTTTTTTCATAATTGCCATTCTAATGCACTCACAAGTTAGCACTTAATTATCTTTTCTTGTTTTTTTCTTCTTCAGAAGCAAAACGACAGACCACCTTTTTCTCACCTGCTCTACCATCTCAATGAAATTTCTGAATCTGATCTTTAAGAATGAGTGGATTTGAAAAGATATGAAAAACATACATTTTTGTAATCATTATATCTTGAAGAAGTAACAAACTGCGACTGAGATACTAAGAAGACTCTTGGCCTTTTGAGAAAATTGAGAACCAAGAAAGTGGACAGTTCAAGATACAGGGAAGTAGTCTGATGTGCTGTTGAGAGAGAGAGAGAGAGAGAGAGAGAGAGAGAGAGAGAGAGAGAGAGAGAGAGAGAGAGAGAATGGAATAGACTTCTTTGATTTTCATTCTAATTTGGCTGCAGTGAAATAAATCCTTGCATCTTTCATTCACTGATTCTATAATTACACTATTATGGACAGATTCAGGAAATACAGCTGAATCTATTATCTGAGATTTCTTAAGCTAAAGTTATTGATTTGCTTTTTGTCAGTTGAAACGTTGCCATGAATATATATATAGGCGTCCACTTATTTTTTGTGGAATTGCCCCAAATATAAAGATTGCTTTTATACAGTTATTCTGAACTATTCTTATGAAACTCACTCTGATCTGTTTGTGACTGCAAGTGTAATTCTTTATTTTTGTCAGGAATATATTGAACATATTTTTAACCATTCCTTTAAAAATAAGCACTATGTAACTTTGCTTAGTGTAAATCACTTATGGGGCTGAAATATAGCTGAATTCATCTTCTCTGGGGTTTGCTACATCTTACTCTTTCAAGGAGGAGAAAACTATTGGAGATTGTAGACTATATAAAATTTTGTATTTCTGAATTAACATTTATTTTCCACCACTCATACATATCAACACACAATAAAAGGAATAAATTACAATAATGTTTATAAAACATTAACATTCCAAATAAATAATGCTGTAAAGGGTGCTTCTCAGGCATTCAGCTTCAGTTTCTCAGTCACAGACCCTGAGCTTGAAGAAATATTGACCTTTAGATGGAAAAGTAAATTGTTCCAGAAATAGTCTGATGTATTGAAAGGGCAGATAAAAATAATGGAAGAATTCTGGCACATCTATATATTTTTGGATTTCGTGTTATAAAGGCCTGGATAACCACAGGGGAGCCAGTGATATAATGTGCATCATGATGTCATCAAGCAAAGTATAAATTGCATGTTTTGGACATGTTATTTCAGGGGGTCTTCAAACCTGGCCCTTTTATGACTTGTGGACTTCAACTCCCAGAATTCCTCAGCCAGCATGCCTGGCAGAGGAATTCTGGGAGTTGAAGTCCACAAGTCATAAAAGAGCCAAGTTTGAAGACCCCTGTGTTACTTGCTTAATGATGTCAAGGTGCCCATTTTATTATATATATCCAAAAAGTCCAATTACACTGTGCATTATTTTTCCAACTCTTAAATTATGAGTTAGTTCCTTGAAAGTATATTTGTAGTGATATCACAGCTTCATAAAATGTTATATTTATTAATGACTTTTTAGTGGCATCGAATTGATATATATAGCTGTGCCAAAGTGGTTTATTAAAGTCCTTCATTTATTAACCATTTAGGAGGGGATGTACAATTCTTTATCTTGGTTATTTTAGAGATCGTTTAAAATGATTGAACTCTATTTGAAAAGAATTGCTATTGACGGATTTTGTAGATAATTGCTGTATGGTTTATATTATGGTTATATTTTAAATGTGTTATCCACTTTGAGCATTGTTAAAATATTAAATATGTTTTTAAGCTAAGAAATAAACAATGGTGTTATATATATTTATAAAATGTGATGTAGATGTGCATCTAGAAGTCATCTGTATAACGTTTCCTTTAATTCTGTTAATGAATAATTCTAAAATAAGAATTTTAAAATAAATGACATGAATCCAAGCTATGTACCTAAAGTACACTTTTAATTAAAATATTCCTGGTTTATCTGTGTTACATCACTCATCCAGTTGCAATTCCAGTCATGTACTCAGAGAATTCTGTGTACAACCCACTGAGATAGTCCAACTTACCGAAATGTGTGCCTTTCTGGTACATTGAAATTCAGTTCCCATAAATTCCTTTCAAGTGGTTCCCCCTGTCCAGTACCCGGAGAGAGACTGTAGCTTCAAGGTTTTTTTCAAGCAGAGCTCTAGAATCGATTTCCTTCCAAAGTATTTATTGTAACACACTTACAGGAAGAGAAGATATTTAAGGAACAGGTTGAAGAAGAATTTGCATCAGTTTTAAAGAGGACAGTCCGTCCCTATTCCACATGTAAAACACAAGTTTGTTCAGTTTGGGAATGACAGATGCAACTCTGTTCTTTTATTTTTTTTTTAACTGAGGATGGGGATGCCCCAAGATTTTCCACTAGAATTAGATAATGGTGTGTGTGTGTGTGTGTGTGTGTGTGTGTGTGTGTGTGTGTGTGTGTGTGTGTGATTTTTTTTTTTTAAAAAAAGGAGAAATATGAATGAGTCCTTGTCTGATTAACAGGTGCGAACTGTTCATCGGGACAAGAGTGTGGCTTCTTGAGGGGTAAGCAGCCGGCGGACGGGCGGGCATGCAGGCTGGCTGGCAGGCAGGCGATGGAGAGGCAGGTTTCTTTCTCTCGGCGGGTGGGAATCATTTTAAAGCAAGAGCTCAGGAAGTCTACCCCGGCTACAGCCCGGTCGGCTCCTGCTCTGCGTGTGCGAGAAAGACACAAATAGATTCAAGCAGCAGCGATAGAGGGAGGGGGAGGAGGCGGCGGCTGTGGCGGCGGAGGTGGAGACTGCCGAGTGGTGGCAGCGGCGGCGTCGACGCTGTAGCATCCCTGCCTCCTTCTCCGCTGTAGCCACCGTTGAGCCCAACCGCAGAGGCCGGGTAAGCACCCTTCCTCTCACGCCAGGTAAGCCACGGGGCTCCTCGTTATTTGTACTCCCGGGAACCTCTTGGTTTCTCCTCGCCTCGGGCTCGGAGAGTCACCCTGGAGCATGAGGTGGGGGGCCGAGATTGCTGCTTCGGCGGCTGGCAAGCGTGAGTGTGTGCATTTGTCTGTGTGTGTGTGGGGGGGGGGTGTTGTTTGGGTTGATGAAAGGCAGAAGACCTGCAGATGCATGCAGGCGGGGGAGGGGGGGAGAGACGCTAAATCGAGGGGCAAAGGCGCAGGTGTAGCTTTGAGGAAGCGGGGCGCGGGAACCGAGACTCTCCCTCCATTCTCCGCCACCCACTCTTCATTTATCCGCCTCTGGCCTCTTCCACAATCTTTCCGATCGCTAGGCTTGGCGGCCTTGGGTGGGTTGACGGGTGCGAGGGAGGTGGAGGCGGCTGCCGCCAAGAGCTGGCGTTGACAGCTTGGCTGCTGCAGAGGCTGCCCCGATTCCAGCCCTTTTGCAACAGGCTCTTAAGAGACCCCGGCTGACGGGGGGGGGGAGGAATAAGGGGGGGCACAAGCAGGTGCGACTGTCATTCTGCTGGGAGAGCGGGCCCTGCTAGCCCCCTCGGGAAAGAGGATTTTACGAGCGATATCCCAGAATGCTTAGAAATACCTATGCTATGCATTGAGGCCTCCTTGTTTATAAGAGTGCATCAAGCAACTGCCATGTGATCAGCCTTTTTACTGATGTCTTGCGTGAAAAAAACACATGTGATCCAAGGCTGCGTTTTCCATGCCATGAAATGCTAATTGGATCTTTGTTAACACACACACACACACACACACACACACACCCAGATTGAATTAAGGGATGGCTTTGGGGATTAAATTAAATCTCACGCTGTTGGAGAAATCATTGCTATTTTAGTCTTTTCTTTCTTTCTTTCAAAATAAAAGTGTGATGCACAGGAATAAACATCTGGGAGGGCGTGAGTAGAAAATGCTCAAAGGAAATGGAATCACAGCAGGTGTATTTCTCAACTTGAAAATACAAAAGATGCTTGGGGTGGTTAAATATGCAAAAAAAGTGAAATTATCTAAGTCATGCTTATTTGGACTGTTTCTCTACCATCTTGTTCTTAATGGAGTCTTTAAAGAAAAGGTTAGTTAAAGGGGAATTTGGACTAGAATTTCAGGATTGGAAGCTGAAATGGGCTATAACAATTTATTATTTTTATGTGTCACCTAAATTCTATCCTTGAGGATACCTTAGGTATGCGGCAAACTTTTGTGCTATAAAGCCTGAGTGGGTTGGAAATTAGCTATTTGCTAGTGCCAGACAACAGTTAAATAAGGTTTGCAATGAATTGTACTGTCAATCATAGCTGAGATCTCTGAAATAAAAAGGGAAAAGGACATATAGAAAGGAATGGCCTTGTGCAGTTTCATTAGGCTGTTTTAAAGATTTTGGAGTTTTCAGGTAAAAAACATTGCTGTTAGTGAAACAGAAGGCCTCCTGAGCCATCTGTTGCTGTCACTATGGTGGCTCAGGGATTTCCCATCACAAAAATCTCAAGTAATGAAATTGATTTAACTACAGGAAATGGAAAGAGGCATGCAGAGATCTGACTTTATTCCTAGGCTATTTCATTAGAAGAAACATTAGACCTTTGTGGATAAAAAATATTTTTGACTGGTATAATAAAAGAAATCAGCTGACTTTAATCTACATTGAAATAAAGTTTCAGCTAACACCAGCATTCAAAGTAAAATAAATTCTCCAACCCAGTGGCCAAACAACCAATGATATTCTTCCAGATTAACACAATTAAACTTAATTTTCAGTGTGTGCATTTGGGTATGTACTGTATAAGTACCTTTTTCTTCAAACCTATCTTGCTTTCCTGGAATCTGTTATTTACCCATGAATGCTTTTCTTTAGCATGTGAGGCCCAGATCTATTCATATTTATTGAATTCAGGAAGACTTTCTTCTAAATAACTTTCTTTTTTTATTTTATTATGTTTTTGTCCTATTTTGTGACCAAGATGATATCCAAGGCTACTTACAATAATAAAAAGCAATCAGTAGGGCTCCAAATACAATTTTTACACTACAGTGAATAAAAAGTGGATGTAAAACTAAATTCCATTACAAGAACCAAAAAGTCAGCTTCATCTGTAGACTTTACACATTTATCAATAGTTGTTCATTGTGAAAAAACATTCATAAAAAGATGGGTTTCATATTAGGTCAAAAGTCACTGCTAAAAGTGGAAAGCCCTCCAGTGTGGCTCTAAGTGGGAATCAGAATCAATATGGAAAAATGTATATACCATAGCATGAAAAATACTATGTTACCGTATATGTTTATTACACAGACAAATGAAACTGTTTGGTGTACAGTCATTTTTTCTCAAGTTGTTTTCATAGAAGGTAAATTCATATAATGGGAACTTGCCATATGAAGATTCTAACTGTATAGAAATCAAAGTTACTTTGATAGGGCACAGAAAGAGGCCAATAGTAAATTTAAGATAAATTTTCATTGAATCCACTGTAAGGATATTCATTGTGCCAGATTGGATTGTTGTTATATATACTTCATTACTGTGCTTGCAGAATAATAAAGGACAGGACTGTGTTAAAAAAAAAAACTTATAGCTAACATTCAATGGAGGAGAAGCATCATAGAAAGATTAATTGATTTGGTTTAAATTGTATTAAACTGGGATTGGTTGGCAAATTGTATTAAATCGATTTAACCTTAGATTTGTTTTCTGCCTTCTTTGGAATGGCCTTGAGCAACAAAACTTGCTTTTCTGAATCAAACAGACCAAGATTATTCATAACAATTTGATTTTGTTTTACTTTCCTAAACCATAATCAAGACTAAACAATCTGCGTTCAAATATATAGTGAACCTTTTCATAATTTTTATTTTTTTTTGCTTATGCTGAAAAATTAAACAAGAGAAAAGTACAAGCAAATGACACATTAAAGACTTGATAGAGCAATTTTTAAAGGGAGAGGGGAAGAGAAAAAAAGGCCTGAGTATTATAATATAATTAAACATTCTTTTCCATCTTTTAGAAAAGGGGACAAATGGGAAAAAAAATGACAGTGAATAAGTCATAATAGTTATAGAAAGTAGATTTAAAAAAAATCAGAAAGTCAAAGGGGAAGCCAGCAGGAAAAGTTGCAAATAACTGGGGGTAAGTCTCCCCCAACAGCACATTGTAACCCAGCTCCCATGTGCTCATGCGGTGCCAGCTACTTGGGCACCCTGCACACCTTCCCTGACCCCTCTCACACTTACCCTTGCACCCTCTTCTACCTGGCAGCAACCACCAACCTGCCTGCAGGCCTGGAACTTACAATTTCCTGCTGGCTTCCCCACTGATTTTGGTTGAAAGAAACCGGCAGGAAATTGCCTCATATTTCAAATATTTCTTCTTCAAATGAAGAAAAATGTTTGCTCCCTGGAATTTGATAAAAGCCAAGTATTTGTTCTTGAAAATAATTAAGGAAATGGTAAATAGGGTTTTTGGACTGGGTCTGAGAGGTAGTGGGACCCAAAATGTGGCATGATGTGATTTAAGTGATAAAGAAATGATAAATGCATTTATTCAGTAGAAGCACACAATTCAAACTAAACATACTCAGTTACACTTCAAAGGTGAGTGACAAAGCCACAATAACCATCTATTCAGTAATAGTTAATTCAATAAGAATGAAAGCCACATAGCCTCCGGAGTTTATGAAAAGCTACATTTTAAATTAACTTGGTATGCTCCATTTAGAACAATAAAGTAAAAAAAAACAAAAACTATAAATATAGTAAATTCTAATCTGAAACAAGTGTGCACAAAATTACAGTCAAAGGAAGGAAATTGCATGTAAACTCTCCTGAGTTTGTTTGGAGAAGGAATATGGTTCTTTCAAGTAGATCAAGGGACAGCAACCTCTCTCAACCTCAGAGGCCATATCAGACAATAAAGCACAGGCATACACAGTTAAAATCAAAAAAAGGAAGTTGGTGGGGCAGTTTTAAATGTACCAAACCCTTCTTGATAAGTTCATCAAGATCACACAGTTATGAAAAGGGATGGGATTTTGACCATTCTGCTGCAATTGTCATCTTGTCTCTGCCCCACATTTGCTGCTGATGCCCCGGAAACTGACGAATTGGCATTCTTCTATGAGATCATGCAAGATTGGGAAGTCTTAGCTACAGAAGCCATGAATAGATAGATAGGTGGAATAGCTGATTACTTCTTCCATTTATATATTAACTTAGAATCTTTAAACTGAGAAATTAATTGTAAAAAATGGATTTGATGAAGTCTCTTTCTCTTTAATTATGTGGAACTTTAACAAAATTCCAAGTAACATCCATGTTTGTTTTTGTTAGACTTTCTTTTAGCAAATCAGAAATCATAAGGGAAAGAACAAATTCTAAAGACAAAATTGAGTTTCTAGGGACTGAGGAAGTTAGAACAGTTTCAGAAGAATTTAACCATCATATTTCTTGAAAAAGAAGTTTTCATTTGCTAGATTAGATTCAAGACTAGTTCCCATTTTAAACATATAGGTGACACTTCTATGCTGGGAATATCTGGGAATAAATCCTATGTGGCACTGTGATTTATTTTTAATTGAACATATAGTATTTAAGATAACCTATATATTCAATTTAAATTCCTGCAGTGTCTTCTCTGCTTTTCTGATTGCATCTTATATTTCAATATTATTATTCAAATCAGTAGAAAATTGATTTTATGATATCTTCTGATGTCACAATTTTGGATTGTTTGGTTAATACATATTAGTTCCACTTTCCTTCTGGTTTCCCATATTTTATTTCTCCATTGCTTGCCCTCCTATATGATAAGAAGCCTGGTGGCAACAAAAATTAGAGTGGAAACAATTTGTATCGAAATAAAACTGCCTGGATGATAGTAGCAATATAGTGCTTATGTCCATGAAAGATGTTTGGATTGGGAAGGATTGTTCTCTAGATCAGAAAAACTA